CCTCGAACCTACTAGCGATGGCCTCAAACCTACTAGTGATGGCCTTCTACCCAGTAGCGATGGCCTCCAACCTGCCAGCGATGGCCTCCACCCTAGTAGCGATTGAGCTCGGAATCTTGAGGAACTCTATTGCCACCTTTCTGCTGACCTACCAGTCCCACAAGATGGAGTTGGTGATCAACGGCCAGAAAGATGTCAAAGGCACCCAGCCGTGCGCCGTGCGGTTGTCGTTGTCGCTCGGGTCTTCAGGTCTGAAAACTGGACGTGCTGGACGATGGCAGTGAAACGGGACCAGGACAGGATGGAACAGGTAAAGAAGGCTGAAGGCTAAACAATGTATTTTCTCAACAGTTTCTGCTTGGAAGGCCCAAATGCAACACATTTGGGAACACTTAGGTAAAGCCTACCTTTGGTGGATCATAGTGACCTGTGACTTTGCCCACTCATGTAACCAAGCGACAGCTCACAGAATGAGGACCAAGGAAGACCCCTGAACCATGAAGATGGCCACCGCAATCTGTTTAGGGTTGCGAGATACTTCGATCTACTTTGCAGGTGACGAGAAGACGTGGATGGACCGGCCCCACATTCGCTTCATTGGGGAAACCGGGAAGGAAGACACCAAGTGGTACAACCACAAGCAGCAGCCTGGAGAATTGAGCGTGTTGAGCTTCTGGGGGTGCACTGCTTCCGGGCGGTCATTCTTCGAGTGCAAAGATTCACTGTTGGAACTGATCGATAAGAAGGTGTGAGATGGGTGTTTTCACAATGTGAGAGACAGTGTGATACACCCATGTGGCTTGTTTGCTATCCACCTCTTTTGCTCTCCTTGCCAAGCTTTGCGAAGCCTTGCTACCTAGTACTACCTCCTTCCTCTTTGGTGCGTGCTATTGCTAGCTTAGCTGTGGCTTAGGAACGACGCCTTGGGCTATTTCCTCTGGGCACGATGCCAGCTGGCGCTAGCTGGCAAGATGCCTTTCACCGGGGAGCACCTGAAGCTCTGCGGAAGCTGGGCTGCTTATGGAGGTGCCAGCTAGCGGCGGATGCTAGCGGTCCTGCGAACTTTGGCGGTCTATCGACTTTGTCAAACAACATCCTTCATGAGAATCTGTCAAATCTACAGGCATAAGCTTGACTACATCTATCTACATCTACTATCTCTATCGTAACGTGAATCTCACTGTGCCTTGGGGCCAAAACGCGGCTCAGGCCATTCGGCACACCCCTCAGATATCCTGAAAATCAATCTACCAACCTGCAGAATGATCGGCAATGGCAGTGGATCATCGTTGTCCTTGACTCCCGAGGAGCCAAGGAGTAGGAAAGCAATGGAAAGCATCGTTTTGGACCACAGGAAACTGTTGTCCAGGATGGTTGGTGAATCATTTAGAATGGTATTCTAAATGTATATCATGGTTCATCAGCTCTTTCAGCTGCGGCCAAGGACAGCTCTTCGACTTCCTTCGAACGATTGAATGCTTTTGAACTGCAAGACAGCTGCGACATGCGTGACACATGTGACCCATGTGATGCACCTGACCATGAGGCTACCCCTCAATCGTTTACGGACACTTGGGACTCATCGGAGCGGACACTTGGGGACGACCCTAGTGGCCAGGAGCGGCCCGAACGTAGCGTCCGAACGCTCCCAGTACGGCCAGGATCCCCGTTCGTAGCGATGCCAGGAGAAAGGCTTGAGAAAGGCTTGTTGGATCATCGGTTTTTCTCTTCAGTGTAGGGACAGTGTGGAAAGGGCTTGATGAGGGATGTCTCCAGTGCCCTACTCGTTCTGAATACACGAAGGAGTTGCCTAGTCGACAAGGCCAAAAGCAACACTTGTAACCTCTTGCTTGTTGCTTGATATATAACCCGAGTCAATGTGTTTTGTTTCTCCATTTGGTATGCCTCACAGTGTGCCCCAGGGTTATTCTGGAATGTACTGTAACAGCTTCTTGAGTTGACCAATTGAACTGTGCATCGCGTGAGACTCTCCTGGAAGCAAGAAGTTGATTTGTCCAACGGGTTGATTTGGTCAGAACCTCGGGGCACGAAAAAAATACGGTCCCCGTCGACAAGGCTGTCTTTTTTTCCCGATTCTGCGAGCATGGACACCCAGAAAATGGTCACATGAGATGACTGGGAACCAGGGATGTTTTTTCGTCTTTTGAGTTCCTGACGAGCATGAGGTTGGGATGATTTGGATGCGGGACACTGGGAGGAGAGCTGGAGGGATGAGCCTGGCGGAGCCTGTGGAGGGAGGTCTGAGGAATGCCTGGAGAGATGAGGAGATCTTGGATGAGATGGGACATACATGAGGAAGGATGAGAAGAACGACAGCATGTCGGATGAGACCAAGACCTCTGGGTAGACCCCCAAAAGGATGACATCAAAACAGTATCCTCTTGGAGTGAGGGCAGTGAGGTTGTAAAATTCGTGTCTTGGAACCAATGGGAGGCATGCGTACAGGTGCAAGCCGGGTGATCGATTGATCATGGCAGTGATCGTTTGGAGGCCATCACAGTTTCCGTTTGACCACCACCCTCCGTCTCGAATATGAAGAAGGAACACATGGGCCCTTTCTTGAGAGAGGTCTGATGCACGGTTCTCGGCCCATCAGGAGCATTCGGCTCAGCATGCCTCTTCTTTGGGCCCCGTCCTCGCTGCTGTCAAGAGCTTCCAGAAGGTGCACCGTCGTTCGTGGATCGGCTGACTGTGACTGGTGGGGATAGTCCTAGTCCTACATGCACAAGATCCGCAGTCCACAGCCCTAACTTCCATATCTCACCATTATACCAAGATCTCGACGCATTGATGCATCTAAAAGGGCTGGAGCTGGTGAGAAAGGTGTTGGTTATGTGGGGCGGGCTCATTCTTCTGTGGGTTCCGAATGGACACTTGGGCACTGTCTTGCCTGAAGGGTTTAAAAACACGAATGCCTGTGACATCTGTGCAGGCTCCTTTTGTTTCGACAACTTGCTTAAGACTTGGTTTGATGATGTTTGATAAATTTGGATCCAGCCTAGCGGCCTAGCTGTTCTGCCGCAGGGGCAGTGCAGCGAGCATCCCTTTGGAAAGGCCCTTCACATGCTCTTGAAAGATATCCAGGACCAAAAGTCCTTCCAGACCAACGTTAGATTCTCAGACCAAAGGTATCATAAATTCGTAGATTTCACATTTCTCATCCGAACTCCGGTTCCGAAAAAACACCCGGCGTACTCCCTGCTCGGTTTTGTTGCCCTGCTTGGCTTCACGAGGTGCTTCGATCCAACCCAGGCGGGTGAACGGGCGGTTTGGGAGACAGGCAGACATCGAGGATGAAGACAATCGGGCGCACCTAGGCAGTGGTCACACCGTGTGGTCCGCTTTGTCAAAGAGGTTGCCCCTCCATGGGCTGTACCCAACCCTAGATTCAAGAAGCACTCGAAAGGAGACTGGAAGTTGAGCCTCTGTCAAATTTCAAGAATCAGGTTGGAAGATGTTGAGAAGGGGCTGGTGGGCAGGTGAAGTGTTGTGGAAAGACGCAAGAAAATCACTTCTATCATCTTCTATGTGAGTGTCCAAATCAGACCAGTTTTCCAAATCCGACCAGTTTTTCATGTTTTTTCCTGCTCAACAGTTTGCAACTTTCTCGGGTGAAGGCTATTTGAGCGTTCGCGACCAATCCACCTATTTCTGCAGGGTGGCTCTTCCCTGGGAAGAGCGACACCTTGAGCGTTCTGGAAACCAAGTTGGAGGCGATGCTCACCTGGGCGCTGCGTCGTTCTTTGCTGTTTCGCATCGGATGCGGACAACGGATGAATCTCGCTTCGCTGCAGGCATCACCAGACTTCCTTTTAGCACTTGCCTTGCTTTGTGGTCAAGGTACACTCATGGTCTTTCCTGGGTGGGTGAGCATTGGAAGGTCTGGTTTCAAAAGAGACCTATATCGTAGATGCCACTGTCCCGACCACTTGTATTCGACTGGAGCTGACGCTTCAGGGTATCGGGACACGAGAGGAGCCTGAACGACTTCAAGGATTGGTTGGTACATGTTGGTACTTGCTCCTAGTAGCGATGCCCTCTAGTAGCTTCTTGTTCCTAGTAATAAGGCCAGGAGCTACGAACGTAGCGTCCTTGCTCCGTTTGTAGCGATGCCCTTATGTACTATTGGATAGAAGTTCAATCACATGGAGGTCAAACAAGTTGGACTCATCCCTCCAGCAGCCACGCGAATCCCGGGAAGCAGAAACATGGGACAAACCTGCTTGCTTTCTCCTATCTGGCTTCGGATGCCTTCTGGTCGGACTTGCAAATCTCACGAAGGATATGTGTCAGCATGTGAGTGGTGCATTCTGATTGACTTCTTTCCATTAGTTGACAGTTTGTAACAACCCTCAAAGTTGTAGGCCATTGAAATGTAACACGTTGCGAGGAAAACTGGATGATCTGGAACCGTGAATCTGGAACTTGTCGTTCGAAGACGCGTTTTTCCTCACGTCCAATCCCCCAAGCAGTGCAGTTTCAGTAGCCCAGGCAGCCCTGAAGACGATCTTGCCCAACGAGGTGGTGAAGCCACCGAAGAACAAGAAGGCACGGCACAGCTGAGCTGCCGAAGAGCGGTGGGAAAAAAGGGGGTTTATCGACCGAGAGAGTGGGGAGAGAGTGAGGGAAAGAGTGGTTGGCGCACAACAGTTCTTTTTTCTTTAGATTCGAGTGCCATGTCATGTCACAGAATTGGCATGTCACCCAAGTTTTAGCTTGTCATCAGGTTGATGCGAACTAGCTCCTGTCTTCAGACATCATTCTCGGCTGCAAGCACTTCAACACCTTCGATCTTCTCAACACAAATGTTTGGCTTTCGGTGCGGTGCCTCTTTGGACACCGACCCAACCCCAGAAGTGCCGCAGACCAACGCGGACCCATATAAGATCATATAAGTGTGTATTGAAATAGCCTGCTGGAAGAAGGAGACTAGACCAGTCTACCCATTGGGCGGCGGGTCCCAATATTCAATATTGAAGAAACCAACTCGACAGAGACACTGACCAGGACGCCGATGGAGCCTTGATTTTCCTTTGCTACCCGTTGGAGGTGGTGCCGACCGCCGGGCAGCCAAACTACCGGCATCTAGCAAACTATTGCTTTTTTGACTTCTTCCTTCCAATTTTGAAGTTGGCCATTTTCTCATCCTTTCTCCATTTCCGGTGTGGTGTAAGTCATCCATCCTGAAAAAAAGAAGCTCGCACAAAAAGCCGAACCTGCGACTCCAAGGCCATGGGTGAGCAGATCTTAGAGAGGCTCGAGACCATCACCGGCCACATCGCAGTGTGCAGGTGACGGCCGCTGGGACTCGGTCGCCCCGCGGAAACCATTGTTTCTACTAATAGCTGTCCCAAAAGGAGCTCCTTGTTACTAATAGCTTCTTGTTACTACTAATAAGGCACTTGTTACTAGAAGCGATGCACTTGTTCCTAGTAGCTTCTTGTTACTAGTAGTAGGAATGCTCCGTTCGTAGCGATGCCAGGAGCTCCGTTCGTAGCGATGCCCTTTGTTACGTTCATAGCAAACCTTGTTACTAGTAAGGCCAGGAGCCCCGAACGTAGCTTCTTGCTACTAGTCCAGTTGGAGAAAGGACAGCAGTTTCGGGAGGTTCCAAATCAAGGTAGCCAACATGGGTCTCTCAGGGAAAGATGTGCTCAATGGATGAAAGACTCTGCATATTTTTCCATCTTGCAAGGGCCTAAGCAGCAAGGTTTCAAGGCAAGAGTCCTGGTCAGCTCTGCGTGCTGTGCACTTTTCACTTGAACCACCAAAACTACTAGTGCAGACTTTCTAACTGCGAGGGCAACATCAACTGCCCCTTTGAGTCGTATTGTGCGGCGGTGCCCATGTTCCAGAAGATCACTGGTATGCACTTGCTCCTAGTAGCGATGCCGCGATGCCCTTGTTACTAGTAGCGATGCCAGGAGCTACTAGTAGTGTCCTTGCTCCTTAGGAAAGCCAGAAAGTGTGGCACTTTGACCCGACTCTCAGCCAGGTATCGGAAAGACAGCTATTGGCCTGGCTCTCAGATGTCCTCATCCTGGAGCAAAAGACAGTGGTAGCATCCTTGTTACTAGTAGCTTCTTGTTCCTAATAGCCATGGCCTCCACCTAATAGCGTCGTTGTTACTGGCAAGACAGGCACCTCTAGTTCGGGGTTGTTTTGTCAACATTCCATCATCTTCCAGAGCATTTCTACCGGTGACTTTGTGCACAGAGGTGTAGGTGCTATTGGAGACCTCCGACGTGATATTTCACCAGTCCGGTTATGGAGGTGACAGTCCCCACCCTGGTTCCTACAGCATGCCGTTGTGGACGGCACCATGCCCGGACAGCCAAATCCATCGCCCAAATCGCTAGTTTATTTATACTTCTTTCTGGTTGCTTGTGAGCTATGCTTGTATGTCCACGTGTTGGAGGGTGTTGCAAGCGACAGCACGACAGCTTTGGCATTGGAGCCACAGGGGTCCTTGTCATTAATGCTTGGCTAACAAAACCATTCAACAAATAAATTGCTTTGCACATGTTCGCTAGTAGGTTGGAGGCTATAGCTCTTAGGTTGGAGGCCATCGCTAGTACGTTGGGGGGCAGAGCGGCCTTTAAACAAGTGAAGTAAAGGAGCTCCCTTTCAGATACCGGAGTGGCCACCCGGACCCAGTCACCTCGTAGACAGCGGAGACAGCATTGTGCCAGGTGCAAGGACTACAAGGAGCAACGTGTGCTGGGTTTTCGCTGGCGCCTGAACTGTGGGGGGGTAACACGGCATGCTGTTCGTTCAGCAGGAGAGGGGAAGCATGGTGGCTTCTGTTTGGTGAATTCTTTGCCCTGGTGCAGAATGGGAATCGCCCGACACTTCCCAACCCATTTCGGGGGATTGCCCATTTCGGTGTCAGCCAAGCAAGGAGCTCTATGCAGATCCCACGAAACACTTTACAGACGAAGAGCTCAAAGAGCGCGACGCCAATATCAAGCCGGGCGAGGAGGACTGGCACTCGGGCCGTTCTCTCATCTCCGGTTGGGGGGGGCTTCCGCTATTAGGTTGGAGACCATCGCTAGTAGGTTGGAGGCTACTAGGAGCAAAGGGCATCGCTAGTAGGAGCAAGAAGCTACTAGTAACAAGGACGCTACTCGGGGTGACCCGAATCGGATGGATGTTCCCCCCGTGAACTCGACCGGTCGAGGTGACGCGCCGACCGCGTGGTGCGTTGGTTTGTGAGGCACAGTGGTGCCTTTTCGACCCCATGATCAGCGCCTACTACGGCGGGGATTTCAGTCACATGTCGAGTCAAGTGAACTTGAATGCACCACTGCCTTAAACCAGCTGTTAAAAGACAAAGCTGTTAAAATGCATGTGCACATGGACGCTACTAGGAGCAAAGGGCATCGCAAGGATGCTACTAGGGGCTCCTGGCCTTACTAGTAGTAACAAGGGACGCTGCTAGGAACAAGTGCATCGCTAGTAGTAACAAGTGCCTTACTAGGAGCGATCGGACGCTACGAACGGGGCTCCTGGCATCGCTACGAACGGAGCAAAGGGCATCGCTACGGCCGTCGAGGGCTTCGGATCGAAGTTCTGAATCCTTCGGATCCCACAGGCAAGCTGTACCAGACCACGACCAAGGACGGAAGGGCTCGTCCCAACGTGTGGAAATCAATGGTTAGCAGACTGGTCAATGGACCGGTCAACCGCCGGACATACGACATGTCAGTCTATTTAAAGTCTATTAATTGTTTCTATTAGCTTCTTGTTACTACTAGTAAGGCCAGGAGCCCCGTTCGTAGCTTCTTGCTCCTAGTAGTAAGGCACTTGTTCCTAGTAGCGATGCACTTGTTCCTAGTAGCGATGCACTTGTTACTAGTAGCGATGCACTTGTTACTAGTAGCGATGCACTTGTTACTAGGTAGTGCCGAGTGCCCAAGAAGGACGAGAAGAGGACTTGTTTGCCGTCACTGCTCGACAGGAGGAGTACCTGAAGAAACAGCAATTGTACCTGGCTAGGCCAGTTGTCGGAATTCAGACCCAAGTGCTAGTGGTCGACTGATACTGCGCTTCTTTCCTAGCTCATTCTCCGGAGCTATCACCCCTTGGTGGAAAACAGTAGACATCCATCCGACTTGAAACATCCATCCCGGAAGGCTGTAGCAAGACTGGACACCGAAATGAAACCATCCCGAAAAGAGATCAAAAGAGCAGATGCCTCTTCCGCTCTTCACTTCATCCACTCACAGGACATGTTTTGTTAAAGATCGTATGGAAGATGATGACAATAGGAAGCTACTAGTAACAGGTGCATCGCTAGTAGTAAGTGCCTCGCTACTAGTAACAAGTGCCTTAAACTAGTAGTAACAAGAAGCTAATAGAAACAGTTTTGCCTCTTCACCTCCAGGTCGTGTAGGCGAAGCGAAGATTAGTTTTACGTCCGGAGCGTTCGGACGCTACGAACGTAGCTATTTGCTACTAGTAGTAATGCCGTTGTTACTAGTAGCATCTTGCTCCTGGTAGTAAGGCCAAGAGCCCCTAGTAGCGATGCCCTTGTTCCTAGTAGCAAGGACGCTACTAGGAGTCCCATCGAACTCTCCTCAGGGCCTTGGCCGCCATCACTGGGGACGACTGCGAGTTTGGTCCGGTCACCGAGGGCCATCATGGGGCGCAGGGCGGAGCCATCACGAGGGCAGTCCATATGGTTGAAGCAAGAGCTGGCGTTACTGTATGTGTTACATATTCTTTATACAGTGATACACCATAATATATATATATATATATGTGTGTGTGTGTACTCTCTTTTCTTTAAGCAGTAACACTCGTTTTTGTCGGCGAATGTTTCGGTGTCGAGCATTGCTCCTAGTAACAATAAAGCTACTAAAAGAAGTTTTCTTCATTGCTATCCTCACTGAGGTGCTTGGATGTGCGCGGAGGTGCCGCGTTAGTCGCGAGCACACGCGGATTCACGGCGCGACGGCGCGATCAGGCGTTTGATGTATACAATCCCAACGATGTCGATGGGTTGTATATCAATACAACGATGGGTTGTATCATCCCAACGATGTTTTCTATCACACAACGATGTTAACGATGGGTTGTATACCCGACTGTCCCCTACAAACAGGAAGGTTTTCCACTTCCATGCTTTTCGCATACATCCGTGCTTGGTTGTGTGATCCAAACAGTAAAGTATTCCGAAGGTGCTGAATTTGCGTTTTCCCCAGATAGCTGAAAGCTACGGGGGTTCTTAGGTGCCTGATCGTCGTTTTGGTTTGCCGCTGAACAATTTATGCCTCGTCTCTTATTCTTACCTTTGGTTACGTGCGCTTACCTTCCTTGTCTCTTCTAAGATCTCCCTGAAAGTAAGCTCGAAGGTCGGCCTTCATGGTTGATCCTTAAGTGAGAAGTAAAATTGCAACAATCTGGTGGTCGGTACTCGAACTAATCCATGTACAGCATAGTTACATATATATACATTGATCCCTTTTCAACCACCCAAATGTAGGGAAACATCGTATACATGGAGAGTTGCTGTGAAAAATCTTTCGGAAGACCAGAAGACCCCTCTTTGTTGACAGAGATAAGGCTCCAGCTGAATCCGGGAGCTGCACCTAGGGGTGCTCGTACAAAGACATGGTCATGGTCGTGCCTAGATTTACGAAATCGATTGGGAAACTGAACTTTGGCAAGTCCCGCATCTCTTTTTTCCAGCCGAACTCTGCATCTGTTGCACGACCCATTGTTGAAAGAAGATCGAGTCTGCTTGAGAATTCCCGCTTTCGACCGTTGGGTGGCTTTTGGAGTCCGATCACACACCATCTGATCTTGCTCATTACGTGAGAAGCTGCTAGGAACAAAGGGCATCGCTAAGAACGGAGCAAGGACGCTACGTTCGTAGCTCCTGGCCTTACTAGGAACAAGGACGCTACTAGGGTGGAGCCCATCGCTAATAAGAAGCTCCGTTCTCTTTCCTTTTTGGTTTCCAGTTTGGTCCGTCACGGAACCCCCCAAAAACTTCCGGGTTCTAAAGAAGCTGGGTCCAGGTCGGCGAAATTTCAGACCTTCATCGGTTCCCTTTCTTAAAGTATAGTTCAGCTGTTTTCTTTTCATCTTCTTGCTTCCCCTCCTCCCCACTCAATTAAGTAAGAGAGAGGTAGCTAGGTACAGAGGTCCGGTTCCGACACACGCCGACTGAAGCGATGGAGACGTGAGGCCTTCTACCTCGCAAAGGGCAAATGGCAGCCCAACGACAACACACCCTTGGCCGCCTGGTGACAGCCAACGACATGGCTAGACCGTGGCAGACCGCGAAGAAGCACGCGATGACAAAAGGCTGAAGAGTGGAGCCCTATGGAACACGAAGTGGCTGTGGGGAGGAGGAAACGACCCTCCAAAGTTTTGATAACGGTATGAATTTTGATTGTGATCCATTCAATAAGTCACTTAAAGATGCTGTCCTTCATGGGGTTCTTTGCTTCGGGTTTTCTGTGCCTTCTTTCGACCTCCGAATGTCCGGCCGCAGACCTCCGACCGAAACTTCGTGAGGCTGTTGCCTCGTTTTCCGGTCGCCCTCGGCCGAGAGCACATGTTCTCCTCGGCCGACTGGAATCACCTCGAGGTTTGACAACTGAAGAGTTGCAGATTCACGGCTGAAACTCTCCACCCTAGTAGCAAGAAGCTACTAGGTTGGAGGCCATCGCTACTAGTAGCAAGAAGCTACGTACACCACCCTTTCCAGCTTTTTGATTAAACTCGGCGACTTGGGCCTGTCGGGCGTGTTCACCTCAGAGTCCCACCCGGGTCCCGGCTCCGCGTCAACCGGAAGAAAACGTGCCGACTGCGTCGCAGCCGGGGCACTTCTGAAAGAAATCCCTCATTAAGTTGCCTGAGCGCTCGAGCACAGCAGGGCCTGTAGTCAGAGCACCTTTTGTTTTCTGTGAACCTGCACCCTCTGCATCGAAGGACAAATCGGGGGTTTCTCGGTGTTCGTACGTGGTCTCCTAGGTCTGGACCATGGTGGACCTCAAGATGGCCATCTATGAGATGGAGATCAGCTTGGGTGGCACTGGACACTTACATCAAACAAGCCCACAAAAAGCACCAATTGAAATCGGTGTGGGTGTGTCGCTTCTTTGGATTTTTGTTTGAATTGGATCAGTTGGGATATGTAACGTTGGATCAGATGCCTCATGTCTTGTCTCTTTGCATGTTTGACACCAGGCTTTTCCGGGTGGGTTTCAGGTGAGAATTGGCCACTTCGTTGTGACAATGGAACATGGAGACAATGCAAGTTTGGGAGAGACGACGTGTACTGCTTTGGACTACTACCGCCGTGATGACCAGCGATTGAGACGATGTTTACACATATTTTCCATGAGGACATAAGCAAATGAGCAAACGCAAGTAGCAATTGAGGCTTTGAGATACTTTGATTGTGATCTCCGGTTGGCCCTGAGAACAAGAAATTCTCATACTCATCCAAAGAGGACTCTAAGAGGACCTGCGAATTGTCTGAGCCTTTGTCGGGTCCAAACCACAGCGAGTTCAGCGTCCTTTTTGTTTTTTTCATTTTCCTTAAAGAACGAAATTCGGACGGGTGTTGATGAACAGACGAATTGCCAAGTGGCAGAAACATGCGCGATTCCATAGCTAGGGGCGGTTGGAGGCCATGGCTACTAGGGTGCACGCCATTACTAGTAGGGTTCCTTTTGCTAATAGGTTGGAGGTGGAGGCCATCGCTGGATTCAGCACTTTGGCTCTCCAGTGTTGCCAAATCGGAGTTGAACTCAGGGCCCACGAGACTTGAGAATAGACACATGTGTCGAAGTCTCATGTGGTTGGCCAGGCCGGTCCAGGCCGGGGGTACTAGTACCTAATAGCAACAGCAACCCAATAGCAATGGCCTCCACCCTAGTAGCCATGGCCTCCAACCTAAGAGCGATGGCCTCCAATCCCAGAATTCCATCATCCAAGTCTCGGTCTCGTTTTTGCTCTCAGTCTCAGGCAAGCCTTCCTCGAGCTTGTGTGTCTTGAGCTGAGCTTGAGTTGACGCTTGGAGCAGCCACATCGGAGCCTTTGACACCAAAAAGCCCGGCACAGACGACTCAAACCGGCCACCCTGCGGAGTGGATCACAGGCCGTCTGCCCGGCGGACTGACCTCAGGAAAATGACTGAACCGGCCCAACCGACCATGAAGCGTCTAGGTTTCAACTTGGCAGAAACGGCCCTCTTTCCCCAATTGGGACGTTCAGAGGCTGCTTCATGCAAGGCTTGCGACGTGTTGCTTGCCAGCAATCGTTTTGGATTGATTTTACATTTACATTTTCCAGTCTCCACCAACAGAGTCGAACGCAATGCCAGATGCCAAGTCACCTGTTCCCACACCGCTTTTTGGGATGACTTTGTTGGTGGCGAACTCAGCCGCGAGCTCCGTGGCTCCCGGCTCGGCTCACGAGACGCATGCGATGCATACGACGCAGATGCACAGCACCTAGGACGAAGTAGGATCACGTAGGATGATAGGACGAAGTAGGATGCTGCCGTGAAATTCCGATTGAGAGGTTTTGGTGGGAAAAGCGGGAGGTCTTGTGATCTCCAGCGGGATGTCTGGCCCGTAGGTTGACCTGACATTCGGGCCGCGGCCGAAGGTCGACACAGATCCCCTGACCTGGTTGACGACTCTAAATGTAACGATGCTTCTTGACCGATGGCCATCGCAGCCGATGGTTGGAGGCCAGCGCTATTAGGTGGAATAATTTGCTTTGCCTCTGCCGATGATGCGTTTTCATGTCTGCGACTCGTGGGGTCAAGAGCTTGCTGATCGGGTCAAGGACGACTGAACAAGCCAATCCGCATAGATGCAAAGGGATGCAAATTGTCGTGTCAGCCTGCAGTAGCTTTGAATAGATGCTTTAATTTCCATTCTTTAGCCACTTGATGCAGATTCGCCAGATTTGAACTTGACAGCGGGGTCCTTTGCCTGGAGCCGATCTGCAGCGTATCTGTTTGACACGGGGGGTTGAATCTACGACATTTCTCAAGTTCTGCCGCATTACGAAGAATCAGCGCAGACTTCGGCCAATGACGCTCCCAACAACGCCTTTGGATGCGACGGGATGAACCTCCCCGGTAGAGCGAATTTTGAACCGCCCATTCACCTGACAAAAAGGGAGTGAAGAACGACAAGTTTCCGCTTTCGTGAAGAAGACAGTGTTGGTTCAAAGGATTGGTTCAGACATGTTCTGATCCAGGCATCATAGTTTAAGGCTTAAGGTAAGTCTCTCGCGGAGGTGTTCCCAGAACCAATTACATGACATAGTTAGTCTCCCTTCGGTCGAGGTTGTGAAGGATGACTGGTGAAAGGGACTCAGTGGGTATTGCAAGGGCTTTGCAGAATTTGAAACGTGATCGACTGTGTTTGATAAAGATGTGAGATTGGTTCTGCACGAAACGTGCAGAACCCCCGGCAGGCTACCAAAGCCAAAGGCTGCTCGCCGATCAGCGCCACCGGCTTCACCGTCCCCAATCGAGGCTCAGGAGCCGCCGCAGCCGGAACAGAAGACGGAGTGCGAGTGCCGGTAATAGCAATGGCCTCCAGACTAAGGCCGAAGAGCGATGGCCTCCAACCCAAGAGTCATGGCCTCCAACCTAAGAGCGATGGCATCCAACCCAAGAGCGATGGCCTCCAACCTGAGAGCGATGGCATCCAACCCAAGAGTCATGGCCTCCAACCTAAGAGCGATGGCATCCAACCCAAGAGCGATGGCCTCCAACCTAAGAGCGATGGCATCCAACCCAAGAGCGATGGCCTCCAACCTAAGAGCGATGGCCTCCTCCAACCTAAGAGTCATGGCCTCCAACCTAAGAGCGATGGCCTCCTCCAACCTAAGAGCGATGGCCTCCAACCTAAGAGCAATGGCCTCCAACCTAAGAGCGATGGCATCCAACGGCCTCCAACCCAAGAGCGATGGCCTCCAACCTAAGAGCGATGGCCTCCAACCTAAGAGCGATGGCCTCCAACCTAAGAGCGATGGCCTCCAACCCAAGAGCGATGGCTTACGACCCAAGAGTCATGGCCTCCAACCTAAGAGCGATGGCCTCCAACCTCAGGGCTTTGGCCTCCAACCTAAGAGCAATGGCCTCCAACCTAAGAGCAATGGCCCCAACCTTATAGCAATGGCCTCCAACCGAAGAGCGATGGCCTCCAACCCAAGAGTCCTGGCCTCCAACCTAAGAGCGATGGCCTCCAACCTAAGAGCAATGGCCTACAACCTAAGAGCAATGGCCTCCAACCTAATAGCAATGACCTCCAACCTAAGAGCAATGGCCTCCAACCTAATAGCGATGGCCTCCAACCTAAGAGCGATGGGCTCCAACCTAAGAGCAATGGCCTCCAACCAAAGAGCAATGGCCTAAGAGCAATGGCCGCCAACCCGAGAGTCATGGCCTCCAACCTAAGAGCGATTGCCTCCAACCTAATAGCAATGGCCTCCAACCTAAGAGCGATGG